CGTGACTCGTCCGAATAACGTGAAATGCTCGGAAATCTGAGTCTAGAGTTGCGAGCTTTCCAGCTTGAATCGCGATTACGAGTATCTAGAAAAGCGCGGATCTAGTCTCGCGCGCCTAATAACTCTAAATTCTCAGGAGCGAGTTGACAAAACAAGTCGTTGCGTGAGAACAAGTTTCAAGTGTCCCACGAGGTATCAATGACTATTACGCGAGCCTCGATTCTTTCGGTTCTTTCAGTCGCGCGCGCGACACACGTGACGTCACATTTGCAGCCGCGATTCCGCATCCACGGAGAACCCGCATCCAAGCCCAGCCGCAAATCTCGCTTGATGAGTTTCATGTAACGATCATTAATAGATACGGATACCTATCCGAGGGAACACGCGAGTTATTATCTCTAACAATCTCACGCGGTGGTCTCGGCTGAACGTGACTAAACGTACATCGCCGCGCCTGCATTGACGCTGCTCGCGCAGCGGGCTGCCTTTCATCCGAATCCGCGGCAGGCGGCATCATTGAACAGATCGCGATAACGTCGCGAAAGTCCGAAGCACGATTCTCCGGGACGCGACACGTGACGATCCTTCGCGTATCCTTCGCGATATCCTTCCCGACTGCCTGCTTGCCGATGACGGCGTTTTCGCTGATGCCTCCTCGTTTTCAGCCGCGCGCTGACGACTCGACGGCGATTCCGCGCACAATTAATTCCTACGCCGGACAAAATCGATTAACGTGCCGGGCAATTAAAGGCGCGCGCGCGCGCGCGGGTCTCTCGCGTAATTATCACGTCGAGTCTGCTTTATTAAGGCCTCAGAAGGCGGATTATCCTGCACCTTCGTCGACGGTGTCTCTCTCTCTCTCTCTCTCTCTCTCTCTCTCTCTTTTTGTTTTCTGCCAGCTCTGCGACGTGTGCGCGCAGCCTTCGCTTTTTTTGCCCCGAATACCGTAATTCTGCTCACGGCTGTGCGTGCGCGCAGCTGTGAATCCGCCGCTGCGCCGTAACGCGCGTTTCGGCGCGGCTTAACGGACACATTTCGCTAAAAACGATCGTTAGCGGGGATTTAGCGGGCCATTCGCGCGGCGGGTGTTTAGCGCGTTTAAACCTCGCCTATCTGATCCCGACCTTTCATTTGTCCGCCGTGCCGATCGCTCGCGACGATATCGACGCGGCGTGCACCCGCAAAGCCCGTAAATCGCGGCGAAGATAAGCGAAGTGCCGCGCGCCACTTCTTCACCGCGCGCGCGCGCTAATCTCTTTATTGAAGTAGCGCGCGCGCAGAGAGCGCGGTGTTGCGCTCCGAGCGAAAGTATACCCGAAGACGCTCCGCGCGCGGACTCTCCGGGCTCCCGAAGCTGTGAACACTCAACGCGGGAGAGCGAGTCTGCGGAGCGATCGTTTCACCTGGTGAAAAGTCCAACTTCCCAGAAGCCGTTTGACAGCCCAGAGTCTCCTTCGCGAATTATGTCCCCGGGCTGTCGGAGATGTCACAAGCTTCGCTCACTCCTTCACTCCTCCCTTCCCTCCCTCTCTCTCTCTCTCTTCCTCTCTCTCTCTCTTCCTCTCTCTCTCTCTCTCTCTCTCTCTTTCTCTCCCTAGCACGGCTAGTTTCGCTCGCAGGCGATTGCAAGGTGCAATTGCGCGGCGCGGAGCGGCAACGCGATCGGAAGTTTTTTGTCAATCAGTCTCCGATCCGATAGCTGCTGCAGAGGAAATTGCGAGACAATTGCTGCCGCGGGAAAGGCGAGACGCTGCTCGCGGAAAAGGAGCGTCGAAAGGGTGGGAGGAGGGGGGAGGAAGGGAGAAGGAGGCTACGATTGTCTCTTCTCGCGTGATCGGCGGGAAAATGCGTAACCACCTGTCTCTCTCTCTCTCTCTCTCTCTCTCTCTCTCTCTCTCTCTCTCTCTCTCTCTCTCCTCCTCCTCCCCCTCTCTCTCTCTCTCTCTCTCTCTCTCTCTCTAACTCTCTCCACGACGAGAACGGATTTTCTCACGAGACCCTGACATATTCCCCCGCCGGCTGGGCAGCCTTGTTCCCTCGCGTGTACGGAATACGGGGCGGGACGAGGAAGATTGCCGGCCGATGCGTCGCGCATAATCGCAAATATAAGAGTACAATTGACGCGTCACGTCCGTGTCCTGCTCCTGCGACCTCCGCTCGTGCGAGCCTCGGACATCGCGTTCTCCTCGTTCGAGAGATCCGTCCGTCCGTCCGTCCGTCCGTCCGTCCGTTCGTCCTCGAGAGAGAGAGAGAGAGAGAGAGAGAGAGAGAGAGAGAGAGAGCTCTGGGAACATCTTGTTGCGTAAGGCGAATGATTGTCGGACCAGGCACGCGAAAAAAAGACACGGAAGCAACGATATGGGCGCGCGCTCGTGCTTCGTTAGCGGCCCGGTTTAACGTATGAAATAGCAATCGAGGACACATTCTATCAAGCGCCGCGACGGTAGACTTCGCCGGAGCGCGGAACATTTCCCGTCGCGAGGCGCGATGAAGCTCCGCGGATGATAAATAGCCGGCCCCGCATTTTTCCTCCGTGCGCGCGCGCGCGCGCGCGCGCCCCGAGTATGAATGACTTCAATTTTACACGAGGCTGCGTTTACACGTGTAAAGGCTTCGGGCCGATCGCAACGCTCCAGCGACGGCGCGCTCGCGATCGCGAAAGTTTCTATCCGGAGAGACAGACAGAGAGAGAGAGAGAGAGAGAGAGAGAGAGAGAGAGAGAGAGAGAGAGAGAGAGAGAGAGAGAGAGAAGGAAAAAGAGAAAGATCCTTATCTCGCTTTTCCTCTCGCCAGCCAAGCGTGTTCTCGTACGCGCGATACCGCGCTGATCCGTTCGGTTAACGAGCGACTGAATTTATTCAATTGCGCCGCGGCGCACGGTGCGCCAATTAACGCGCGATTGATATCTCGAATTAACGCATCGTGAATATCGATCTGTTTTGCCGGAGCTCTCGCTCGCTTCTTATCGGCTATTTCGCCGGCTATTAGCGTAACCGTATCATCGTATCGTCGTTAACCGTCCGTCTCGGGATCCACCTTGCAGGATCACGAATCTCCGAGGGCGAGAAAGAAAAATCGAACGCGCGCGAGCTCTCCGCTAGCCGAGTTGTCGCGCAATTGGAGGAGGTCAGGGCAGCCATTTGTCTCTAATACCGCGCGAGAGAAAGAAACATCGGGTCTCGCCGCGTTTTCCGTCAGCACCGGCTGACCTACTGTTCCTTTCTCGGAGTCGAAAGAAACGCGCCGCGAATTACGACGGATACATTATTTATCCGCGCCGCCGTCTCCTCTTTCGCCCGCTGCGACCCGCCGCGCGAGATGCGACCGCTTCGCAGTCCCGCCATTTACCGCGATATCATTCCGGAGGATTATACTTTTAACTTCATCGATCACGCGATTTTTCCTCCGCTTCGGCAAGAACGTTACGCTGCAACGAGCGCTTGTCTATCGATCAGCGCTGGATACATCGCGCTGTGTACAGCCGTACGCAGCCGTAGAAAAATTTGTCGAAAGTAAGACGCGCGGCCGGGAGATTGAGGATAATTTGTCCGACCTCGGGGAAGAAGAAGCGGGTCTCGGTGAAATATAAAGGAAACGCGCGGCGGGGGGAGGGGGGGTTGCTTCGTTTGCCGGACGATCTCGAGGTGTTGGAGCGCGAAGCGCGACGATAAGAAGAGTGAGATATACTTCGATTACCCCAGATTATCCCAGCTTGGTAATTGCGACAAATCGATGCGTTAATTCTGATCGGTAAGCAGCAAACGACAGACGGAAGCGACAGTAAGAGCGAGCCGAGCGTTATTAATGATAAACAATTACAGAACACGCAACGAGGACGCGGCGAGTCTTCCGCTTCGCGGAGGAGAGAAGCGAGATGGCGTCGTCTCTCTTTCTCTCATTGTTTAAATAGATACCATCAAAGCCGTCGACCCGTGTCGGACACGATAGTATTATGTAAAATGCGGTTAGTTAAATGACAAAGCGACTCCCGATAGCCCGTTGCTTCGACTACTTAATGTAATTGTGCATCCGCGAGAAATCCCATCGGGGTTTCCTCTTGCGGTCGAGAGTTCGATGGGGCTTCTTCGCGACGCGACGCGATCTTCATTTTCGAAGGTATTCGGCGAACAACGACTGAAAACCGCGCGTGAAGCGCGCGATCCATCTCCGAGGGGAATTTATCACAATCATACGGAACACGTGGCGTTTCTACCGTGGAAGTTTCTCGACGGAAATGTCGGAGGAGGAGGGACACACACAGAGAGAGAGAGAGAGAGAGAGAGAGAGAGAGAGAGGGAGCGACAAGTTTCAACCTTTCAACTTTCAGCCTCATACATCTTTGTAGCTAAATCGTGCATTAAGTCTCCGTTCGAGCGAACCTCACGTGTACGAAATTAGCGCGGAAATGCGGCTTGCTTATGCGACTTCCCTCTCGTCTTTCTCTCTCTCTCTCTCTCTCTCTCTCTCTCTCTCGCGTCGCTCCCCCGATTTTTACGCAATTTCCCATCGCCAGCCGTGACACGATTAATCGGTGACTTTTAACTCGGCGAGTCAGTGGACGGCGCTACGTAATTAACGCACCGTATCGCGCGCAAACATCGTAATCTGCGGAATTATGCAGAGCCGCGGCGGACATATGCATCAGGCAAGTTATTTATCCTCGCGATAAAATTCTACAGATAATGATCTCGCGCGCGCGAGTGTCGCGAGTGCGAGATATTGATTTCGTTCGGACGGGTTCGCCGCCGCGGTTTTTCCCCGGCGATTATCACAGGCTCTCCCTCCCCCGCTCAGAGCGAAGACGATCGCGATCCGGTCGCACCGCGCTGTTGGCGTCTCGAAGATGATCGATCGCGACGCGTCGTCCCCCTCGGCCCCCGGACAGTAAATTCGCCGCTCTCTATTCTCGCCGTTGGCTCTGTCGGGCCAACGTTCGTCGCCGAGCGGCACCGAGCGTCGCGCTCTCATCGGGCCTTGTATATCCTTCAGGTACGCGATAACAGTGCACAGTAAATATTATCCGACTTTGCGGAAGCAAAGCCGAGCGAACGCGTGCGCGCGGCAACGTCTCGATAATTCGGCAGCAGGAACGTGCGTATCTTTCGCGAATCGTGTGCTCGCCGTGTGCGGCCGTGCAGCACACACAGAACCGCCTGTATAACGGGAGCCTGACGGCCGGCGGCGGCCGTTAGCAGTGGAGGGTTTCTACATATAGAGGTGAGCGCCGCTCGCGAAACCGTTCAGTCTCCTCCAAACCGCGTAGCAATAAAAGACACGGGTGTAAATAATAAAGAGCATCGCCCAGCGCCATCCGCCCGAGGCGTCGATCGCTACATCGATTGAGTGAGCATCATCGAGCGACCAGCGGAAAGCGGGGGACCAGCGGAACCGCCGCGTTTCCGCAGGAACTGCCGCGCCGTCGGCCTCACGGGGACTTTTCCTCGAGTGATCCGCTCGCGGACTCGACACGTCGTCGCGTCGTCCGCAAGCGCGAGAACGCGTTCTTCCCGGGGTAAGTAAGCGCGAGCTTCTGCGACGATCCGCCAGCAGCCGCTTCCTCTTCCGTTTGCCCCGCGGCCGCGGGGCCGCGGTGAGTGCGAATTATTTTCGCGTGCTCCGCGAGATCGCGACGAGTCGTCGACGAGTGCGCGATAAGTGGACATATGTATGCACCGTGATTTGTAAAAATCAAATAATCCTTATCGAGCGGAGGCGGATCGACACAGTTGCGCGATAGCGTCGGTTAATAAATATACGTGCTCGATGGCGGATTAATGATATCGACGGCAGTTGTCCGACTTTTTCTCATTCGTTTTCGTCGTCGTAGTCATCGCTGCCGTGGCCGTCGACACGTGGAATTTGCGATTTCGCCTAGGCTTTGGGGATATGGCATAATTAATATGGGCCATGATGTACGGCACTGCGGAAATCTCTCTCTCTCTCTCTCTCTCTCTCTCTCTCTCCCTCTCTGTCCCTTTCTCCCAACAAAAATCAGGAAATTATATAATTCAAGATATTTAAAATCCGCTGCGAGAAATCGGGACCCCGGCGACAGAGAGAGAGACAGAGAGAGAGAGAGAGAGAGAGAGAGGGAGGGCGAGAGAGAGAGAGAGAGAGAGAGAGAGGGAGAGCGAGAGAGAGAGAGAGATAATACGAGCGGATGATGCGAGATTAGCGGCTACCGGTTACCTTCGTGTTTCCTTCTTGTTACAAAATTTCTCCTGCTTAGATAACCGGCATAATTAGCGACGCGATACGAATACGTATCGCACGTATAGCCGCGTGGCATGCGAGAAACGCGATTTGAAGCATCGAGCGCGGCCGGGTAACGCGCACGTAGAAAGTCGCGACGATTCGCGATCGATCGATGATTAATCGGCCATGTGTGTTCGCTTTATCGCGCGGCCGATTAAGCGAATACGACCGCACGGAAATCCCGAGACGGGCGATTCAATTATTCGCGCGGCGAAACGTCAAAGCACGGCCGACAGCTCGGCGAACTCAATTAGCGGCGGCCAGCTTCCATAACTTGCGCTTGTTATTTGCACGATGATACAACTCGATCGCGCGCGCGATGCTGACGATATATATAATCTCGCTTAAATGTCCCAAGTCCAACAAGATAACGATATTTGCATTATTATCGATCGGCTGTTTGCAAAGCGCCGAGCGTTTCCCAGAGCTGCGCTCGCTCGAAGCAAGTTCGCCGAGCGAGTCGCCCGTAATTCGCGATTCGCGCGTCCCGTATTACCGTTCGACTTCGGGACTTAACAGCCGCTCTCCATCGACACTCGGCACTGAATTCGCCAAACTTCGATCGCGCCGGTGAATCTTATCGGAGCGCGCTTGATCTTCACACGCGCGCGAGAGCAGTAGCGTGTTGATCGAACGATAACGGGTTTAACACTCTCGGGTGCATCTGAGAATACTCGATCCTATTATTTTTCCCCCTGCAATTCCCCGGGATTAAGAAGCGAGCGACCTCGTGCGCGGTTCTCTCTCTCTCTCTCTCTCTCTCTCTCTCTCTCTCTCTCTCTCTCTCTCTCGTGGAGGGAGACTCACCTTAGGTGACTTGTCTCGTTCAGATAAGATAAAACCGACGAATATTTCAGCCGTTAGAGTGCCGCGGCGCGACAATGTCACGCGTGTCTCTCCTCCTCTGTTTTCAGTGATCTCTTAGTCGCACCGATATGGAGCAAGGCGGCATTTCGATAATGTCCTCAGCGGGCGTCGTGGAGAGCTCGGCCGGCAAGTCCAAGAGCATCGGCATCACGCTGAGATCGAACGGCAGCATGCGGACGGCGAAGGAGAAGCTGAAGGCGCCCTGTGAGTACGAAAAAGTAACGGTGCTCGCGTACTCGCCGGGCGATAACCGATAACGGCGTGTGTGCGTGTGGATGTCGACGGAAGGCGAAAGTGGAAGTCCCGTTCGCGAGATTCTGGAAATAGCGGGTCAGAGACGGGGGGAGGGGTGACCCGCTGGAGCGTTTCGTTCGAACGTGTTTCGCTCGTCGTTCGAAGATCGCCCAATTCAGTCGTCAAGCTCGCGAGAGCTGCGTCCTTTCGCGTGTTCGTCGCGCGCACACGTGCGGCATCGTGGCGCGTCTCGATAGATAACAGAATACTCGGCGACGCGCTTCTATTTTACAATCGCGTGTATACTCCCGAAAGCGAGCTGTCGTCTTCATTTGCGGCAAATGTTTGACTGGATAATAGCCGACGCGAGAGCGTCGTTGTATTTACTTTGGCGTGATTGATAACTCGGGACGCCGTGGCGAACTTCAAATACGTGACGTGAACATTATTCCGTCTCGCCAATCACCGGCCGAAAACGTCTTATGTAGACTCGAGACGCGCGATCAATGGTCTCGATAAAAAAAGATTTCATCATTTTTTCTTCGCTCGTCGAGAGACACACGCGTCCCCGGAGTTCGGCCCCGGGCTTTCTTCGGCGCTCTGTACGATTCGCAATTCGCGACGAGAGACGGAGACGAAGACAGAGACAGAGACTGAGAGAGAGAGAGAGAGAGACTGAGAGAGAGATAGAGAGAGAGAGAGAGAGAGAGAGAGAGAGAGAGAGAAAGGAGAAAGGGAGAAAAATTCGCGGGGCCTTCGGAGATTCTCTATTCGATCGGCGAGAGAGCGAGAGAGGAAGAGAAAGAGAGTGGGATTGCACGGAGGAGCGTGGCGCGCGAAGGAATGACGAGTGTGCTGCACGGGAGGAATCGATCGTGTAGCAAGATGGAGAGGCTCGGCGATCGTTCGTTCCTGCTTTCGAGGTTGACCTTAAACTCGCGCGGATCGGCGCGCCGCGGCGCCTCGCGAGGCGGCGACCTCCTATTCCACGGAATATTCCTCGTCGTCCGCGCCGGTTTCCTCGGTGAAAGAAAGAAAGCGGAGGTTGGCACTCCGACGTACCGAGAGCATGCTAAGCGACGCTCTAGACCATTCCCGGCTTCTAGACCATTTCGGAAAATTGGGTCGGAAATCGCATTTGACTGCGGGTTGACGGAGGGTAAGAGAAGGAGACGAAACGGAGTTTCTCTCGTCTCGCGAGATGCGTGCGGCGTATTCGCACTGTCGCGCGAGTTTCGCGCATCAGCCGCGCCCTCGATGTATCCCGGTCGTCCGGAAAATTAGATTCGCGCACAAGTAACGTTATATCGCGCGCGCCGCGCCGCGCCGCACCCGGAAGCCGCGGCGCGACGCATTATTATGCGGGCGACGTTCAGACGGATCGGCAAGCCGGAGGAAAAAATTTCCCTTCGCCTGCGCTATAACAGAATGATTCGCGTTTCGAGTGACTTCAATTTCACCGTGACTTTACGAGTCGAGATGCGTCGTCGAGACCGTTTCGCTTCCTGCGAGGATTCTTTTCAGCTCATCTATATGTCGGCTCGGTGAAAAAGTTCGCTTCGATTTCCTGTCCTTCTCTTCGCTTCGGCGAAGCAGCCGGCCATCCCCTCTCAGCGATAGAGACGTAGGAATGTCGCCAGGACGTCGACGAAGGATCATAGACGACAGGACGACGACGTTGTCTCTCCCCATCGGACGCAATAAAGTCAAATCGAAAGACGAGCCGAGCTTGATAATATCGAGCCAGCGCTACAACACTGACCTACATAACGATATGCCCTCGCGTAGTCCTTGGGCGAAATTTTGCGATACATTCCCGATTCCGGACGACAGCGACGATATACCGCGCGCGCGTGGTAAAGCGGTTCGAATTTTCGATCGGCGGCGCGCTTCGTGCTTTGCTCTAGAAAGCGGCTTGCGTTGCTTTAACGAGCGCATTTCGGTCGCATTTCTCTAGGAAAGAAAGTGCACAATGCGAGCGCGAGTCGGGAAACACGCTTGTCTCGGCGTTTTTACGAGGCACGTCGCGCGCGCGCGCGCGCGCGCGCGCCGGGGACTCTCGCTAATGAAATTAGTTGGTAATTATGGGGAGGGTCGCGTATGGCTACACCGCCGCCGCGGCCGGAGGCTCCCTTTTCATCCTCTCTCTCTCTCTCTCTCTCTCTCTCTCCCTCCCTCCCTCTCTCTCCTTTCCGCCGTGAGCGCGGAAAACTACGTGTTTCGAGAACTTGCTCTCGAGCGATTCGATCTCTCGCTCGCGCGTCTGCATGCTCGTTACACGCCTCGCGGGGGGGGGGGGTCTGTCTGCCCGTCTGTACATCGCGAGGTGTTAATTAAGTCGCGGCGGCATTATTGTGCTATCGACGCCGCGCCTTCCTAATAACAATGACTGCGCGAAAGTCTCGCATCTCCGACGGGGGGAAGGAGAGAGATGGCGAGAAGGAGGGAGGAAGGAGGTGGGGCTGGGGGAGAGACGCTCGTGGGAAGAATCGATTAAGTCCGAATGACTTTTTGTGGATTCTATCTTCCTGGGAAAATCTACGAAAATGAGACTGCGAGACAAGCGGCGGCGTTTACTCGCGCGCACTTTCACCGGTTCCCGAACGTGCGATCGTGCGACGCGACGCGGCTGATTTATAATCGCGGGAATACGCTCGGTGGTCTTCGGAAATTAATTCGAATTTAATAGTCGCGCGCTCGCGAAGAACAGACATTAGGACGCGGCTCACGTATCATCTCATAATCCCCGTCTCTCGCGCTGTAGAACGCTGCAGAATGCTAGAGGTGAGCGGCTAGAGACCTGTTTATCCCACGTGGGGATATGCAACCACTTTGAGATACTTTCGAGAACCGTAAAAAGATACGCGAGCGTATAAAATGCCCCGAGTAGTGCTCGCGCTGGCTGCGAGCGGAAACTATCGAGCGAGTATCGAGGCTTCCAGCGATTACCGCGCTTTCGCCTCTGAGAGGAGAGCAACTACGTTGCTCGCAACCGGCGAGAGCCGGTGCGAATGTGTCTTTTTGGATATCGCGTGTATCAATTTTGAGATCAGTACTTACGTACTTACTCCGAAATGAATTAATCGACGCGAGCACCGGAGTATCGCCGGCTAGCTGGTAAAAGGCTGGCATTATTTATCAGATGATGACTTCCAGAGATATGAGACGTCAAGAAACGTAACTCCGAATTAATAGCGGGAAGAGAACAGCGGAGCAGATCCTAGCCTTCTATCCGGCATGGAAAGTAGTTTGAGCGCCGGTAGTTTGCGCGCACGTTAAAATTACGGTATGTGTGTGTGTGTGTTCATATAGACGGAGGTGGAGCACCATCCGGTACAGAGAGATAGGCTACCATTATCTATATCCGATCTGACGAAATTTGGAAACTTTCCATCGTTTAGTAGTCGCGGCCTCTGTCGTTACGCTGTCGTCAACATCGCTAACGACCGCTCGCGATTGAGCGAAACCTTCGTCGCTTACTTGTCTTGCGTCATTCCCGACCTCCAATTCCGACTTCCAATAATGAAACCGTCGTCGGTTTGGAAATGCACGCCGCGCTCGGAAAAGCTCGCATGTATACGTGTGCGTGGCGCGCGCAATGTTGCGAGGTCGTTCTTATTTCTGAAAATACACAGGCAGGCGATAGACGAGGCCTGCGAAATGTCTAGTCGGCGTCATCGCCAGTGACTCCTGACGCACCATCGGCATGAGGTAGGCGCCGTGCGAATACATCAACGTCAACGATAAAACGTTTGTCACCGTGTCATCGCCGGAGCTGAAAGAATTCGGCCAGCCGGCGGCGGTGATAGATCGAATTATGCTAATGCGTGCGAAATACATTTGACCACACCGCGATTGTTTCTTGTAATTTCCCAGCGAGGGCAAAAGCAGGACGCACGGGCGTCGAACTGGCCCCATGTGTTCCAACGAGTATTTATAATAATGATAATAATAACAATAATTCGCCTTTATAGTAAATTACATCGGAGACTACGTACGTAAAGCTGTGCACGCAATGACGCCAGTTTCACAAAAGGCGTCATTTCTCATCACTTTTCTCTCCGGGCTTCGATTCCCGCCTTAACGAATGTAATTCTTCCGTGTTCATGTCTAATCTAATATCTTGGTTCAATCTCAAATTTTATCGGAAAGATCTCGCCGGGAGGGAACTCGCGATAAAATCGGTGTTTTAGCTGTCTTGCGGTGTGAACATTAACTTTTCTAATTCCTCATCGGAGGTGAGAGTAAACCGCGCCGGTGAAGGAAAAGAATTAATTTTCTCGCCTGCCGTAATTGCCTCACTTTACTTTTACCACTTCGATACGGCTCCTTACGCGGGCGTTTTTTTTTAATTCACGCTCGTCGGAATCCGGAGAATTCGCAGTTGATCCTATCGGCGAGAAGGAGCCGTTCTAAATTCCAGAGAAGACATAATTATTGTCAGATTGGAAACCGCTGAATCGAACAAGCGACGCTTTCAGACGATTTAGTACATCGTGATTCTCGGGTCGCGGAAAATCTGGAGTTTCACTCCTCCTCGCATCATAACGATTTATCGTGACAATCGCGCTGTAATTTACTTTACGATACTTCCTCCGTTCTCACGATCGTGCTCCACTTCCAGCCTGATTGTCCGCGACGATATAACGGGCAGGTAGCAAGATGTCAGCGGTAGGAATGCGATCGATACAAGACAATATCCTTTGCGAAGCGATCTTATTATTTAGCCGTGTCGTTTCACCGTCGATGTTTTCGAAAGTGAAACGAGTAGTTACCGGAGTAGACGTGCATTGATCCGAAAACAAAAATATTTGGATGTAGCGCACATTAAATACGTTTTAAATTTCTTGTAAATTCGTGCTCACACACAGTGATTGTCACAACAATGGATAACATTATTAATATAAAGTACCGAGCACGAAGAAAAATCTCGAGTAACTATCGAATGTAAATAAGTATGCGCTAAAGTG